CATTCCAAGTCCAAACATTTTGAACTTGACTTGTGGTTTATAAGAGAAAGAGTAGCACAAGGTCTCATTGAAGTCAAGCATGTACCTTCTCAGTTTCAAGTGGCTGATCTTCTAACCAAATCCCCTTCTACAACTATCTTTCAAAGCTTAAAACCCAAACTAAATGTTGTTTCTAAAGACCAGTTTAGTTTGAGGGGGGATATAAAGGATATGTAATATTTGCTGTTATTATTTTTAGTTTTATTATTTGCCTTATAACAGTTGTTGTTATGTACTGTATAAAGGCCCTGTATTGGACACATAATAAATTAATGATAGTTTTGCTCTGCTGCGTTTTCTCTCTGGACTCGTAGCACTTGCTTTCGTTTCACTTAGTCATTCTATTTTCGTTCCTCAACACCGTGGACTTTAATGTAAAAGTTTCATGGCTGAAGGGTCTGTAATAACTTCAAAAGGTTTTTTCCAAAGGTTTTTGGCCGAGGTGTCATAATCTTATAACCTCGAAGTTTTGATTAAGGGCCTTAAGCCGAGGGACTTTAAAAACAACTTTAATAGGTCGAGGGGTTTTAAATTCTTGAATTTTGTATTTAATCGACTATATCTTCAGTTAAGTTATTTTGATTTGTTTGAAGATTCTTGATCGAGTTCGTTTTTGCCCGAAGTATTCTATATGTTTTAAATCACACTCAATCGTTGCTTTGCATTTTCAACCGAGAATTTGATATTGCTTGTATCCTCGATTGAGCGTGTCCTCAACTGAGGGTTTTGTTTTATTTACGTGCTTGACTAAGTGTGTTCTTGGCTGAGGGTTTTGTTTAAGTGCTCAACTGAGTGTGTCCTTGACTGAGAGTCTTATTTTGTTTACGCATTCGATCGAGTGTGTCCTTGGCTAAAGGTCTTGTGATGTTTTACGCGCTCGACCGAGTATATCCTCGGTCGAAGGTCTTCTATTTTCTTACTTGGCTGAGTGTTTCCTTGGCCGAGGGTCTTGTTTTGTTTACGCGCTCGACCCGAGTGTGTTATTGGTCGAGGGTCTTGAGTTTTCTTATGCGCTCGATCGAGTGTGTCCTCGGTCGAGGGTCTTGAATTGTTTTATGCACTCGACGGAGTGTGTCCTCAGTCGAGGGTCTTAAGTTGTTTTATGCTCTCAATCAAATGTGTCCTTGGTCGAGGGTCATAAGTTATTTTACACACTCGACCGAGTGTGTCCTCGGCTAAGGGTCTTGTGTTGTTTTACGCACTCGACCATGTGTGTCCTCAACCAAGGGTCTTGAGTTATTTTACACACTTGACCAAGTGTCTCTGAGTCTTGTTCAGGCTTCTTAGCTTCATATTCTCCCTTTTGAGTGCTTCAAGTTCATAAGCATCCCTTTCATGAGCTCTCTTGATAGCTATCATCTCTTCTTAGAACAATCTCACAACATTTGAGAGATTAGTTTGAGCTTTTACAACAATCAGCCCCAAGTCTTGTTCGGGTTGAACCGAGTGGGTGTTCTTCCTAGTAGTAACCATCTTCTACGAACTCTTCTTCCTACAAAACAAATAAACAACGTAGGCCTTCAAAATTGGCCCCGCGGTGGGAGCCAAAATGTACCAACAAAAGGGTACTCCAATAATTTTGCTACTCTTGTCGAATCTTCATCTTCCATGATGTCCTACGAAAAGAGTTGGGTACCTGCAAAAGGCACTCCAATGCTTAAGTTAGCCCTCGGCGTCAAAGATCTCAATACTAATCCAAACTGGTAATTATGAAAGCGTACCTTTATCAGTTGCTAATTACTTCTATTTATACTAACCTTAGTGGACCTAGGCTCAAAACGAGGCCCATTAGTGATCTAATAATCTTGATACTTGTAGAGTGAAGTAGGCTGTTTTAACCTAGCTGAGGACTCCTCAAAATATTTGTGCTGAGGATTCTTCAATTCCCTCTTGTAGTACTTTAGTCTTGTCCATATCCGATATATGTTTCAATTTCGCTTTAGGGTTCATAAATTTTTAAGAAAGGAAAATGTTTTTATATAAATTTTCTTTTAAATTAATTTTATTAGTTTTCTTTTAATTTTTAATTTAATCAAAGAAACACATTTGTCACATGGAAAATAGCTAGTGAAATGTTTAGCTAATAAAAGGAAAGGGGTAAATAAAAGGAATTGAACATTTTGACAGTTTGAAACCACTAGAAATGTCATCACTTGTGGTTGTTAATATTTCTACCACAAGTGATTACCTAATTTTTTATAGTGATTGATGAAATATTTCTATTAAAAAAGACATTATACATAAAATATACTAGTAAAACATATGTGATTAAAACAAAATACTTCTATTTCATACAAAATAAGAACAATTACCTAGAAAAAGTTAAACTATAAAATAAAAATGTTGATCCAACATAAATTCATTAAATTTTTATCTTTTAAAAACAAAATTAAAAAATATAATGGGTTGGCGGCTTTGGTAAGGGTTGGGCAGGTTGATGGATTTAATTTTCCAACTCAACCCACCAAAATTAGGTGGGTTGGAATGGAGGAGACACCTTGCCTAGAGCTATACTCATCATGTGTATAGAGTATTGACCCTCTCATAAGCCTATTTTGAGTAGTATAGGATTTATTATTTTTATTCCCATTTTACCTTTGTATTTTGGGGTACCCTAGATGATAGGGTTTTATATTGTATTTTCATTTAGCCTTTGTATTATGGGGAAAATTAGCTAATGATTTATTTTTGGACTTAAACCTTGACTTGTGAGGTCAAAGTCCATTTTCTTCTATTTTTAGGTCAAAGGGTATTTTAATCTTTTAGGAGGAAGCGAACCCAGACTTCATTTAGGATTCATTTAGGGTGCATTTAGCTTGCATTTGGGCTTGCATTACATGGTCATGCAACCCTAAATGAAACCCTAGATGCTTTCCTTCCCCTATATATACCCTTGACCTCGCACCATGTACACAATTTGGAATATATGATATTAAGTGAGCATTATTTTGTCTCAACATCTTTCCTTAGTCATCTAGGATTTCTCTGACCTAAACCTCTCCTTTCAACCTAGAGTGGGTGTTAGGTTTCCATTGAGTAGCCTTCATCCATCCTTGGTGAAGTGAGCCAACCTAGAAGCAACCAAACACCTTCCACCTCTCATTCATCTTATTAGCCCCTTCATTAAACCTCACACCCATCTTTTATTCATCATCACCCTTGGAGGAAAATCCAACCATTAATCGATTATCATTAAATATAATTGATTATTCCAGCAACAGGTAAAAAGGATGCCTTGCTATAATAATCGATTATTTATGAAATAATCGATTATCCCAGGAATCACTCTCTTGAATAATCGATTATCCTGCAAAATAATCAGTTAGTTTGTTCTTGGTTGATTTCTAGAAACCATGAAGAACTAAATAACCGATTATCCTTTAAAATAATCGATTATCTGGTTCTGAAAATGTTATAAATAGTTTTCACATTTTGAAAATTCAGAACAAGATAGAAGAACAAGATAGAACTGAGAATCAAAAAG